TGCCGTAAACTGCCGCTAACCTGAAGTTCCACGACAATCTACAGTGCTGCACATTGACGAAAATCCCACTTTTCATGCAGTGTACAGTATGTCTTACATTATACAGCACACATAGGGAAAAAGTTTAAAACGATCAGATGACGTTTAATTAACATATGATCTCTTTCCTCAAAAAGTCTGCTAGGGAATGACTTGATTTGTGATAATCACATTGATTTATGTTGCCTTACAGAAACTTGGCTGCGGTAAGAGTATTATGTGAGCATAATTGAGGCAACTCCTTCTATTTATTTACATTTTCACATACCCAGAAGTTCCTGTCGAGGAGGAGGAGTGGCAGCAGTCTTTAGGTCTGATTTACTGATTACTCCAAAGGTAGTAAATAATTAGAAATCTTTTGAAGATTTAACCCTTAGTTTCCCTCATCCAAACTGCAAAGCAAGAAAACCTCTACTTTTTTAGCTTTGTGGTGTCCACCAGGAGCTTACTCTGAATTTTTAGATGAGAGTTCCTTGCATGTTAGTGTTAAATACTGACAGGGTCATCATAGTCGGGGATTTTAACATCCATGTGGACATTAAAGGTGATAGCTTAAGAGCAGCCTTTAATGCTATCTTAGATGCTATTGGCTTTGTTCACAATGTGAATAGTCCCACACATTCTAATCCGCTTACTTTGGACCTTGTGCTGACATATAGCATAGAATAGGAAGAAATAACAGTATTTCCTCACAACCCTTTCCTCTCTAACCACTTTTTACTAACCTTTAAGATTACCTTTAACAGAGTTCTCCTCCCCAAAAAAGTTTCACTTCAGCAGATCATTATCAGATAGTGTAGTTATGAATTTAAAAGGAACTTTTTTAAATTTCTCTCTCCTCTGTGTCGCTGAGCAGTGCTGCAGAGTGCAAAAACTTAGTTTATTGCCCTTCACAGGTTGATGATTTTGTTGATGTGGTTGCTAGTTCTCTGCATACTGCCTTAGACAATACAGCCCCTTTGAAAAAGAAAAATGTTAAAAATAGAAATGTGGCTCCTTGGTTTAATGCAGAGCTGCGCATTCTGAAGCCAAATACTAGGAAACTGGAGACAAAATTTCGCTCCACAGGCCTGCGGGAGTCCTTCCTAGTCTGGAAAAATGGTTTACTGCTGTATAAGAGGACGCTTTGTAAGGCAAGAGCAGCATATTTCTCCTCATTAATAAAGGAGAATAAGAATAATTCTAGATATCTTTTTAATACAGTTGCTAAACTCACCCAGAGCCATAGCTCCATTGAACCATCCATCCCACCTGCTCTTGGCGGGAATGATTTTATGAGATTCTTTGTAAATAAGATTGATCTTATTAAAAACAAGATCATTAGCACTCCTCTAACTACGATTTCAGAGTTTTCAGGGTTAGAAAAACTATTGTCTTCATCTAAGCCTTCAACTTGTATGTTAGACCAGTTTCAACCAGGTTATTTAAGGAAATGTTTAGTTTGATCTCGTCCTCCATTTTAGATGTGATTAATCTGTCTCTGTTACAGGGATATTTATCAAAGGCTTTTAAGGATGCTGTAATTAAACCTTTACTTAAGAAACTATCTGTTGACCCAGATGACTTGGCGAATTATAGACCTATATCCAATCTTCCTTTCTTATCTAAAATTGCTGAGAAAGTAGTTGCCAAACAAGTGTTCGATCACTTACACCATAATTAACTTTTTAAAGATTTTCAGTTGGCTTTAGAGTAGGGTGACCAAATGTCCGTATTTCCCGGGACATATCCGTATTTCACGTCCTGTCCCGGGTGTCCCGGGTTTTTTTTAGAAAGTGAGGAAATGTCCTGATTTCACTGCGCACGACGCTCCGTATGACGTAATCCCTGAGCCCTGCTCTTAATTAGAGGCTCTGTTCAAAAACCTGGGCTGCATCCTCCAAGGACGCGGTCTACCTAGACTGGATC